AATGGCCACACCTCTGTCAGTCCCTGAATTTAGGAAGAGAAGCTGAGCTCAGGGTGAGGGCTGGAGCACATGGAATCCCATTTTATAACCTCTCAGATCACATCCAACGCTTTCACCCAGGCTTGGCACCCCAGGACCAGCCCTTCCCTTTTGCTCCCTGGCAGGGGGGGGCTCTAAAGACAGCGGCATTTGCTGTAGGAGCTCAAACCAGCAGAACCCGTCCCCTCTCCGCGCTGGGGCTGTGCAGGGGTCTCGGTGACACGTAGCCAGGACCACGCACACTCCTCCCTCGCCTGATCCCCCACCCGCTGATGGCCGTCCCCCTCCGCAGAGCGTGGCCGTTTGCAGCTGGAGATCCGGGGCTGTGGTGCGGCGCTTCACCGGCCACGAGCGGGAGGTCACCAAGGTGAGTGATGATGGACGGGGCACGGGGGGGTCCCCTGTGCTGTCACCTGTCAGGAACTGGGAACCAGGAACGATGGAGCGATGGTTTGTCCCCCCTCAGCGGGCTTGCCCGGCTGCATCAGAACGAGGGACCGGGGCATCGGCACGCGTTCGGTTTGTCCCAGGCTCCCAGAGGTTTGTCCCAAGGTCCCAGCTGGTATTTGCTGTCCAGGGAAGAGGACGGAGTGGTTGTGTCCACACCAAACGGGCTCCAGGAGGCTTGGACACATGCTTATCTTCCCTTCCGAGGGACTGTAGCAAAATCTCAGGATGCATTAGTCAAATTTTTGATTCCGAGATGCCATTTGCATTTTTTCAGGTCTCCTTCCACTAGACGTGTCATTATTCTACAAACCAGCCATCCCCGGGAAAGCGGGGCTTTAACTTTCCTTCTGGCATCCCCATTGCGAAGCCAGACACACTGCTCGAGAGCAGACATGGGGGTGTCCACACGGGACATGGGTCCCTGTGCCGCGGGCACCGGGGGGATGACGGGGGCTTCGTTCACCCCCGTGCTCACAGCAGCCACACACCAGCACCCTTTGGTTTTTTAGTTTTTCCCATGAAATGAACGGTTGCTGAGAACAGGATCCGCACACACCCATGCACCGCCCAGCTCCCTGGTTCTGGGAGTCAGGGTCCCGCGGGTGGGTCACACCCCCCCGCTGCCCCCGGTCCCCACTGTGGCACAGGCTGCAGCACTGCGCTCGGGCTGAGCAGCTTCCCCAGCCCCAGGCGTCGGGGTCTGCCTGTGGCCGGGATCCGGCAGAGCAGAGGGATGCGGGAGTCGCAGCGTTGGACAATAGGCATGTGCACCCCCGGCACGGGCGAAACAGTGGGTGGGGGTCAGGCTCGGCCCCGTTGCATTTCCGCACACCTTGGGCTTCGCTGCGGCCGCAGGAGTGGCGCGCTGTCCCCGGGCAGGACTGGGGCCTGACCAGCTTCTCCCATCCTGTCCTCGCAGGTCACCTCTGCCCCGGGCTCCAGCAGAATCTTCAGCGCATCCCGGGACAGGACAGCGAAGCGATGATGGCTCCATGGGGCTCTGGGGCCGAGCCAGCACTTCCCAGGACACGAGCTGGTGGTTACTGGGCTGGCGGTGAGCCCGGGTGAGGAACCACGCGCGCTCCTTCCCCGGGGGTTTCTTGGTGACTTTTCTTGACGACACTTCTTGACAATTTTTGCATGTTAACGTGTCGATGCAGATGGCTCCCAGCTGTGCACGGGGTCACGGGACAACACGGTGTGCACGTGGGATGTAGAGACCGGGGAGC